GAAGGGAAATTTCTACGAGCTTCCTTATGTACTGACAATGCATGAATTTTAATAAAAAAAAAAAGAAAAAATGTTATCGTCAACCGCTGTGTGTGTTTATATCTAACTACTATACTATATAACATGGTTTACTCTTTTACATATGTAGATGAATATGCACAAAAGTACACGCAAATCAACATAACTGTATGCCCCACACATAAAGTAATTGCATAAATTCACGTGAAACCAATTGTTACGTATTTATTATGATTTGTTTTTTTTCTTCTTATTCTTCTTCTTCCTTCCCCCCTTTTGTTCTTACCGCTTCAAAAACATTTCACATTGTTTTCTATCCGAATGCACTAGTTGTTGTTTGCTATTACTGTCTGCAAAATTTCTTCTAATATTCATTGTTAGTTATTGTTCCGTAACTGAATCTGTCGTCTGATTTTACTCATTCTATTCAGCGTATACAGGGTATCGTACACTTTAACAAGAGATATCATATTCATTTAAACGAAACCTCATTGCTTTACTGACGTAATGTAATGGCTTATCTCATATTATTCAGCGAATACAGGGTGCGGTAAAAACTAAACCATGAACTTCAATAAGAGATTTCATATTCACTTACCCAAAACCTCATTACTTTACTTACGTAATATAATAGCTTATCTCAATGAGAACTTTTTCAACTGATAAATTGTGTCCAGAAATTCTTTGTAGATCACTTGTCGTTTATAGAAGTTTTATGTAGGAATAAAATTTATTCGGCTTTCCTTGACTCGATATTGACTGAAATCCGGAGATAAATCCGGAGATAAATCCTTTTGAATATCTGCGATTATTCTCCTTACTTGCGAAAGCATCACTAGCTTCAAATTATTTATTATTGATATACGATGCGATAAATGAATACGACTCATATTTGTAGTGACAGTCTTTGCATACAAAAGTAGCGCCTCGCAGCTAGTTGTATGAATTAGGGGAAATAATTAGGGGAAAGAGTTGCTTCTTGCTTACTCAACTGGAGAAATATCTGCATACAGTGCACACATATATAATATTGTGTCAAATATGTATGCATTAATATGCATTTCCGATATCATATGAATCAATTTTTTTTTTCTATACCTCCAACAAGTGTCGGACTTTTGAAATTGTGAATTCTTGAAACTAAGAAAAAATTGTACAAAATTACTGTCAAGTGTCAAGTGGAGCTATAAAGGCACACTGGGGAAATTTCAGACAATCGCTTCTTCTTCTGTCTCTGAATAGATCGACTTAAAACAAATCATAAAGTTATATTTATTTTGGAGTCAATCGGGACAAGTTTTACATTGACATCTTAGCAACCTCCGAGGCTAAGTCTTCAATAAGTCTTTCTTGTAGGCGCAGTGTCATAACAAGTAGTTGGGTATTTGTGTAGCACTCAGAGGGACTTACGAACGAATTTCTTATAATTATAGCGTTCGATTTTTAATGATTTTCTCAATCGATTTAACCTCGTCTGTCAGTCCTTCGGTTTGTCTGGTGTCTATTTATCCATGCTTGTCTTCTACCTGCAGATCGCAAGATTTCACGAGATATGGTGCACCGATGTCTTTTGGCTGAAGGCGAAAGTTTATTAAAAATGAATTGGCACGCGGAACATTTACGAGGACTGCCCGTATAAAGACTTATTTTTTAAAAGTAATTATATGCATAAATAAATTTGTAATAATCAAAATTTCTTGGCAAAAATTACTTAATAATAGAATCTCGGAATTAATGAGAAAAATTTGGATTTCATAGCAAAGCGAAAAGGAACGAAACCAACAGAATGTATGGTTTTCGTCGCATTGGGTCCTATTCAAATTCTCTTGCCAGTTGCAAGTTTGTAGACGATATGCTCATTTGCGCTAACGGAAGAACGCTTACCACGGACACTGCATGGTTGGTATAAAAGTTTTGATAAGAAAATGACATTTTGACATACTATAAAATTAAGTAGGCGTGGGCGATTTTATCCGCTTTCGTAGAAGTATTATAGCATTGCTCACAGAATGTACCGTGAAGGTTTTCTACATTTATTTATATATAACAAAACACCATTGTTTTATTCCTTTTGAAAACACACTGCCTTCAATCTGCGTAGCACTGTAGCACTGTCCTTCAATCGACTTTCAAAACTTTCAGTGTTTCAGTCAAGATTGCAGTGTATAGCTTCATTTTTGCGGCCAGGAGAATGTTTACTACGGATATTAGTCAGATGTACAGGCAGCCAGACGAATAGACGAACAGACCGACATGCTTAAATTGATTCAGAATTTGGTGCTCATCAAGAATATATATATATATATATATACGTTTGTGACGTCTTCAAAAGTTCCTTCTGGGCGTTGCAAACGTTTCAACGAAATGAATAAACCTCCACATTCTTCTGTGATGGGTTTAAAAAAAGCATTTATGTGATGAGCGTATATAGCGTATATCTCATCCTTCTCGCATGGGCTTAAATATCTAACCAAGTCCGATGGAGTGAGAGATACAAGATTACAAATTAGACATGTACATAAAATGTATATTGAGTTGCCAAAGCCAAATTTTTTGTATATAAAGAATTTTTAGTTACTCATACGTAATGTGCAATGCATTTTATTCATTTTACTCAGATTGCAGCGTATACGTACCGAAGGCCTCGTTATAAGCAAATCCGTTTTGTTATTACATTATTATTACATTAATATACAAACAATTGTGAAAAGGATTGCATTTATCATTATTAAGTAAAGTTGTTGTCTATTGAGATGAAATGAAAGAAACGTTAAACACAGAAGGAGGCTGATTTGATCGCTCGAGGTTATTGTTAGTGTTTTTCGCAGATAATAGATGAAAGCTTTAAACACCTCAAAATGAGGTGAAAAGCAATAATTGAGTAAAAATAAACTAACTTATGAAAGAATGCTAGATAAAAAGTGAAAATCTTAAAATAAGTGACGTGGTCTGAATTAAAGATAACCAACGTAACCATTTAGCATTTACCTATGAGTTAATTTTCGTCCATATTGTTTAAGTGATTGCGATTTTGTTAATGCAAAGTTATCCTCAGGACCACTTAAATAGTATGTGTTCTTTCGATAATTTATAAAATGTGTATATGTATGTTTTGTTTTTGTTCCTTCAATAGAATGGAATGATAAAATTTTAGAAAAACAGTTTTAGCGTAATAGCAAAATTCGTCATATTTAATGTTATTTTCCTGATTTTCTATCTCTTTAAATGAAATTTTCTATTTTTTGATCCAGTGACTGCTGGCATAGAAAACGGTGCTTAAACAGTAACAAGGATAGAGAAATATGCAAATGACACGAACACTCTTAAGAGGGCAAAAGTAAGGTTTTTTTTTTTTTTGCTTCCATTGTAAATATATTCGTAAGCTATGTTATTACCGCATCAATTGTCTGTTGATAAAAGAGAAATGCATTCATTAACTTTTCAAGTGTTACTTGTTGGACAAACAAAGATTATACTGCAGTCGTTTTAATCACGTTAATATCATATGAAACAAAAGAAGCTGATAACAATGTTAGCAAAAAATGAAAGACAAAGCAAGAAAAAGGGAAAAATGGTGTCTTCAGCTTCCAACGAATCATTTGATATATATGCGCTTTTCTGATTTCTAATTACCATAAACTATTATTAACGTATTGAAAATATTTGATATATTTATTTAAATGTAAACACACTATTATGGTATTTAAGTCTGCATTGATCATGCCGTGTTACAACATACACAATGCTCATACACAAATATGCCCTCATCACGCAGCACTAATCACAACTAAAATAATCCGGACCAAGATGGTATGCTCGAATGCGGGTATGCCGTCATATTTCGACTGAAAATAACATCAGCTCTACACCATAAATATCACACGCGTATGCATACTAGAAGTCATAGCATAATACCCTGCGCATAACGTATGCGAATTCGTACGTATTTATTACTGTAAAAAAAAAAGCCCAAAATGAGCGCACGAAGCCATCGGAGCGGTGTAAATAGTGTAGAGACCTCTGATGACGGGAGAAACAAACATACTAACGGCCACCATTCCGATACCTATGCAAGTAAAGACACTATAAAAAGCCATGGCCTGCCGCTAAATACTCTACACCGCTCTACAGGTAGTCATACAATGGCTTTTCAAGTTGGGGGGGTTATGCGGGAAGCAGTCGAAAAAGTGGCCCTATTTGGATCAATTTTAACAGTGTTCTTCGTGGAGCTAAAACAAGCCAGTGTACCAAATTTCATCAAACTATCTCAAATTTGTGGCCTGTAGGTTAAATGCACGAAAACGAGGCAGACAGATAGACAGATGGGCAGACAAGATTAACGAACGGAATTATGAAAAATAAAAAAGTGAAAAGGTCTTCAATCGTATACAAGTAATGTAGAGTGTAAAAACAAACACAAACAGTATTAGGTAGTGAATAACCAATTTGTATAAGCCGTTTGGCTATGTGACGAAGCTTTGTAATGCTTTACCCACTCTGCTGTTCTACTTTGGTGGCAGTAGAAAAAAAAAAATTTGTTAAATTTATTAAAAAATGAAAAATTTTCAATCTCCTAAAGACAATTGTATCCGAGAGACAAACATCCAAAAACAGACTTTTCCACTCACGTTCATCAAGAATACGTGCGACACTTGCCGTTCGTATTTTCATGCGTTTGCAAAGACTTAATAATAAATTTAATATACTTTGTGTAAGGCATGTAATTAATCGCAACTTTGTAGCTTGTTTTGTGGGCATAAATTTTTATTTTACTTGATGCAATTTTCCTTAGTATCCCAGGCCCAAATTCCCTTAATAAAAATTAGGTATCTTGATGCAAGAGACTGCAAAGAAATGACTGCAAGTTGGTTATAATATATTCAAGAGTGTGTTACTTACTTACCTACTCTACACAAGAATTTGATAGTTAAGTAACGAATTGATTAATCAAAAATTCTGTCTTTCATTGCTTTTACTTTCAGTTACAGAAAAAGAAATCAGACAATGGTGAGTAACAATGAAACGAAAACATTTCAAAATACTTTATAGCATTAATGGGTTTTTTTTTTTTTTTTTTTTTCCGTAAACACTTCATGTGTTCATTTTCTATATGAAGGCATAAAGGATTTTTAAAAGACTGTCCCAATGGTTTACTCACCGAAGAAGTAAGTAAAACCTCTCGCTTACCTATGAAATTATTATGAAATTTTTATATGTTTTTATTAAATATGTTTTTTTGTTTTTTTGTTTTTGTATTTTACGAATTGCTTGGATTATTGGTTATTAAAATTTTAATATGTACTTCTAATGTAAAATAACAACAACAATAATAATAATAATAATAATAATAATAACAACAAAAAATAACACAAAACTAATTGCAATTTTTATAACCAACGAAATAAAATCCATCAAAATGAAACAATCTAAACCGATATTTTTCTTCTTGTGTTAAAAACTTTTGATTACTTTCTCTCTACATTTTGGCTTTCGCTACGTAATTCGTGCTGATCAACCATGGGAATGCTAACAATTTCTGATATTTTGTATGCCATTTAATATCCGTGACATATTCGATTAAATGTAACGCATCGCTAATGCTTTATATATATATATATATATATATATATGAAAACGCACGGTTTATATAAATATACTTATGTGCATACATACGGTTTATGTTGCTTATGACGCCATCTACACTAACAACTAATATGGCGCCATTGATTACTATTGCTCTATACATGATCTCCCGGTGCGCATGGACTGATATATTTCTGCGTGCGTATGTTCTATATGTGCGTGTGTTTATATGTATATACGCGTGTATTATATCAAATTATGTTTATAACCATCCTCTCAGGGTTTTATTAAAATTTATAAACAATTTTTCCCCCAAGGAGATCCAAGTAAATTTGCCTCACTGGTATTTCGTGTGTTCGATGAGAATAATGTAAGTTACGCTAATGCTTAAATTATACACTTTATTAAGCTTACTGTAATGCATGCATGCATGCACGCATGCATGCATGTGCAAGCCAAACACGCTTTGAGTTTATTGATTTATACAGCTTTTTATGGCATAATTCTGTTCCTTTATTTTCTTCCCCTTTTTTTTTACGCTCTTCATTAAATTCTCATAAACATTAAGTGCTACTTAAAAACAATCATTAATGGTTTTTTATTTTATTAATTTATTCATTAAATTTTTTTTTTTTTTTGAATGAAAAGTATAGTCTTTGAAAAGGAACCGATAAGAACGTCTATTATAAAGATAGGTAACGAATTGTTAGTAAAATATATAGAAATTTTTCAAGAGATTTTGCGAAATCCGTTCAATCGATAATCGTCGAATGCCATTTTGTAAAGTTTTTTTTCATCATTTGGATTCCATTGGGTCGATCATTTGGTGCGTTGTTCATGGTATGTTCTCTTCATAAAGCTTTTCCAAACAATATTTTCAATTTCAGTCGACAAAACAGATTCTTTCAGTGCGCGATACTTCTAACACTAGCAAATTTTCCCCGCTTAACAATTTCCCTGAGAATCTACTAACAAATGCTAAAGCCAGCTAAACGTTTTCAAAATTTTAAACTTAAGCTTCATAACGGGATTTTTTTCAAACTCCTTTCGCCGTGTCGGGTGTTTTTCAAATAATCTCTGTCCTAACATTTCTCTCCTCTCGTACTGAACTTTCGAAAATGCATACAGGAGTATAGCAAAAATCATTTTCACACATATCCTCTGCCTCCACATTAATGCACTTATTAATTAGGGTAGACGTCGACATTATTCAATAAAGCTATATGAAGAGTGCAGCCGACAGAAATGATCATAGTTGTAGTACTTGAAAAGAATTACAATCGAAGCAAAATTCAAAATGAACTTAAAGTTGATATATTAAGTCTATTAAACAAGTTACATTTGTTGGCCAACAATACAGAATAATTTGCAATAGAAAAAAAGAAAAGAAGGTTAAGGTTTCAAAAAAGTCTTCACGAATGCTTATAAGCTCTCTAACATGTTATAATATGTAGACATTGTATACTAATCGACGTTTATGCCCAAGCTAAGTATACAAATGTTTAATGGATAGCAACTCAGAAGACTAACTAACTATACCATCGTATCGTTAAAACGACCATTAAAAGGGAAGCAGCTAGCTTGCGTTGCCAATCGACCTAAATATCTCATTCCAGCACGATCTGCGTTTGGTATATAATTTTGTTCAGCCCAAAATACTAAACTAACGTAGCCCTATCTCCCTTACGATATTTGCTTGCAATATACGGCAAAGTTTCTACCCTACCAAAAAAGGAAAGGATCCAAATATTACTGAAATGAAATATCCTTCCTAAAGCACAGATGATAAAAATTTAAAATAATAGCACAGAATAAAAAGAGGACAGTCTTACCTATATAGGGTAAATCCCGACATCATAAATTCACAAAGAAGAAATACATTCATCCGATAGTATTGCCGTATTTTCTCAGCCTGTACGGTGTCGAGCAGGATCTTATTCAATCCAAACATTTTCTATATTCATATTTTGTAGTTTAGACACAAAAGCCTTGATTGTTGTAACGTAATAACGCCACCTATTAAGTGCTGTTGCCACGACTTGACGAAGAAAACGATTGTAACTTGCAAAACTAATAGTCAATAAGTCAGGATACATTTTGTTCGGACACTGTTACTACCTAAAAATCGTATAAATTTGGCAGTAGTGTCATCCTATGAATTTATTGAATGGTATGATATATTTATATAAATCCAATCTTTTAGTTTTAATCGCGGCGGATCCAAAGCGGGTTTTATATCTTCGCAATTGAGGATGCGAAGATATATATATATATATGCTTATATATGTTGACTGGTTAAAATGGGTAAACTATGGGTATGGCAGCTAGGGCTAACCTGAATTTTGTTGTTAATATTCGTATATTAGCATAATATGATATTATGAAGTGACATATTCTACAAAAATTTATTTGAAGATTAGTAAACCTGATAACGGATTACAACAGAACGAGATTAGAAAGCATGAATGTTCTCGCCGGGATATTACATTTCCAAGTTGACAAAAAATTCGAGCTTCTTTCTTCCTTTTCCTTATTCAACTCTTTCGAGCTCATCACACAAACGCGCCTTGGAATTGTTGAAAGAAAGAAACAAAGAAAAAAACAAATTGAGGAAAAGACAGATTTTTTTGCATAGCTAACGATCCTTCTTCAACTTCCAATACAATGCAGTTAGAGGGTAATGATCCGTTGTGATCACGTAATTATGGGTTTTTCCTCTCGAACAAATTTTTTACATTTGTCTCTACATTTATTTTGCCATTTAAAAAAAATTATTAAAAACAAATTAACGGTACAACAGCTCTCGAATATTCGTTTATGGCGTCGATCTGAAGCATTTTTAATAGCACTCGGTTTTGGATTAAAGCTTGTCAGTCTACTAAATTTGATTAAAATACTTTAAAAATGACGATATAGACAGAGATAAGCTGGACGGACAGACATCGATTAGATCGAACCAGAAAATCAATCTCAATCGATAAGGTGTAATAAAAGATGAGTCTATCTTACGAACTTCTGCGTGTTACGTACGTCCGCACAAACTTAACACATTCTGTATCACAAATGGTGCAGGGTATCAAAAATTGGGTCAATATTAGTGAAAGATATTTAAATTTACGAAAAAATTACGAAATTTTAAAAAATGACTATAAAACCGTTTTGATTGGTTTGTGTGTGTTATGAACTTTGAATGTAAATTTAAATTTAATTAAGCGGATCAGATCATTGAGATATACTCGCGATACGATCAGTTCGCAAAACAGCTAAGACCTAAATCCTTTTGGATAGTGTGGCATGGATATTAAGGGATAAGATATTTCCACAAACTAGGATTACACGTTCATTTTGAAGAACCATGAGACCCGATCTTCTAACTAATCTATCCCATCGTACATATATATATATATATATATATATATATATATATATACATATATGCTTAACTGCTAAAAGTCGTTCATAACTTGGGAATTGCTTTATGTAAAAACATCAAGATTGTATGTGTAATAGAAAAATTGCTTTCAATATTGGTGGGTACGAAATATAATAAGTTTTTTCAGCATATGTAGGTAGGAATGCAATATAATAAGACAAAAAGTCACATCTTTTCTTCCCATTGACAGAGTCAAGATATGGCGTTGTATAGAGAACGTTTGCTAAGGAAAGATAAGCGAGTATTTGAAAAATATTTTATTACTTAAATGCTTCGAAAGTAGTAGTAGTTGTCAATAGACTAGGAGACGGCTACATTTGACTTGAAATGGCTTACAATAATAATAATTTTTGCCTTTTTGTTCATTTTTTTTTTTTTTTTTTTGAAGATATATTGAATTATTTTTCGTATATCGTGTGTGAGAAATGAATTTATTTATTTATATTTATCTTTTCTATTTTGAGTTGTTGCTGCTGCTGCTGCTGCTTCTTTCTATCCATTATTTCTCATCCTCATAATATGTTCAAGTGTCATTGCATTGCATTGGTATTTTCGGGCGAAAACATTTTGATTTGTTATTATCACTGTTTTATAGGTAGATTTGTGTATGCTTCTATCTATTTCTCTAAGGATTCGCCAACTAATTGCACAATTTTTGCAAAGGATATCTTTCTGTTGATATTTGTGTAAATTTTCTGTGCTTAATAAATTATTTCTTATTCTTTACTATTATTATTAATTATTATTTTTTTTAATATCATCTAATGCATAAGTGTTATGGTTTGTTTCAAAAAAGAAAAGAAAAAAAAAAAACGAAGTTCTCTTCTCTGCATATTTATTATTAATTTCCGGTGTTGCGGTACCTTTTAGTTGATATTTCATTTTTATGACGTTATCTTACTATCAATTTGTTTTCTTCTTGTTTTTTTTTTTTTGTTTTTTTCTTTTTCATTTTTACTCTAATCTTTAACAGGATGGCTCAATAGAATTTGAAGAATTTATACGAGCCCTGTCTGTGACATCAAAAGGCAACTTGGATGAAAAATTGCAATGTAAGTTTAAAATACATGCAAACATCAAACTTATCTATCCATCATGGCATACTCAAGCTCCTGGCTTAGGTGGTGGGAAATTCCAATGTGAATGACAAGAATAATATTTGGGGAAAGAGAAAATAGGATTTATTATCTACTGCAACAACACTAACAATCCAATCGAATGTTATGAAAACTAATGCAAATAAAATCAATCGAAACAGAAATGAAATTACTTTTAAGATTCGTATCGGATAGTGTGGGTATATTTATTTACTCATTCCGTCTGTAATATCATCAATGTCCCCTTAATTCATCGATTCTCATTTTGCCAATCTCAATTCTTTCGCCGGGCTTGCGGCGCATAGATCCTGTACGGGGAAAACTTCAATGTTTTCAAATAGTTTCGCACAAAGCGGCGACAGTTAGCTACAGTGATTGAAAAACACACGTAATTGATAAATACAATAATAAATTTTTTTCTACAAATATCAATATACATATATATATACATATATATAAAACTGTCGACTGTCGATTGTTAACACAATAATAATGAAATATTGCTCTCTGTTATCAAAGTGGTTTAATAGTATACGCTGTATATAGCAGTTTTACTAAAGAGATCTCTCAACGAACTCAGTTGTCTCTAAATTGATTGGAACCTTTTTGACGATTTCCCAGAAAGAATCGTTCAAAATGCTATTGGCGCGCTGGCGATGTTTGACAGGACTTGGAAAAGATCAATGGCCCCTGGCAATGGACTAACATGATAGATTTGAGCGTAGTTTACGAACCATTAAAGCTATCGCATTGAGCAGTTTAGGAGAAGCGGTCATAATTGCCAAAAGAGAGAGCACCAGAATACGCGACACATCCTCTATCAAATGGCGGGGAGGGGGGGGGGGGGGGGGTGTGGAAATTTAGCCGAACGAGAACTTCTTTAATGCATACGAACCAGCAATCAACCATCCTAAGATTACTTCTTTTAATGTCTGCGCTAGTCCTTGAAAGGCATTCACTTAATTTAAAAGATTGCCTATGAGATTGACATTGCCTACAGCCAGGGTCATTTGATTAGAAATCGAGGAAGAGTTTTGAAGTAACCGGGAAAAGTGTTGTGATCAACTATGGTATATATGTATGTGTCTTTTTGTAATGTTGCTCTCTAGTGACAATTCGTGCACTTCTAATTTTGCACATTATTTAGGGCTACTGAGTGTAATTTAAAAGAAAGTGTAAATACTTGCTACTCATTTTAAGCGAACTAATTGATATTGGCTTGTTTAAGGGACTTCAAAAGACGGTCAAACGGTTTCATATGCTATGAAGCATGTCTTGGTGGCATTCGTGTTCTTATTACATTATTAAGGGTTTCTGAAGTCCGTAGGATCTTTACCTTTTCGTTACATTCATAATATTGCAAACGGTGATTGTATGTTTGTTTGTATATATTGTATATATATATATTTTTCACAGCGGGGTTAATTACTTAAAAATAGTAAAAATAATAATAAAAACTTACGCGTTACCATAAAATTTTATGCTGCAAACTTTTTTTTAGTTATATTAAAGCCTGTTATAACGAACACATACACACATACTGTACGCGAAGTGAGTTTATATGTATGCAAAAAAGCAGTCATTTAATACACTGTTGTATAAAATTGTTGCCGTCAGAAGCCAACGTATTTATATACTTTTTTACTGTTTTTTTCTTTTCTTTCCCTTTTTTTTTTCTTCTTTTTTTTTTTTTTGCTTTTTGTATTTCCTTTGCTTTTAGGGGCATTCCGTTTATACGATGTGGACAATGACGGTTATATAACACGTGAGGAAATGTATAACATTGTGGATGCCATTTATCAGATGGTGGTAAGTTATGCATTCACACGCACTTATGTAATTGAAACAATTGCAATGAAAAAAAAATGAAAAAAATCTAAGAAAAAAAAAGGGGATTTTCTACTCACCACCAAAGGATAAAGGTACGCTAGTTTTGCTGTTTGCGTTTGTAGTGCACGCAGTGTACATATAAGCGGCTGTCCCAAGTGTACCCATACGCCATTGATATAAGATTCTGAGAAAATTGGATTGTTAATCTGGCTGTCTGCCTCTGTTCATCCATTCAGTATGATGTACACTTTTAGGATCGGAAAAAGGCTTGAGATGAAAAAACTAAAGCTTAGTAAATCTCTATCTAATCTTGATTCGTAGAAGAAAGCAATCTATAGACGGCAACAACATGAAAAGAATTAAACATTTTTACTATAAATATTGTCATCCATAGTCTGTTGAAAGCATCCATCTTTAAATGGCAGAATCTTGACCAGTTAACCGATACGTTTGATGTTAACGTAAACTGTTTTTTTTTTTTTTCAATTATGCACACCGCTCAAGGAGAACAGTAAAATACAAATGTTGTTTCGCTGTAACCAAAAGAGAAGTGAGGCAACAAGAGCACTCAAGAAAATTTAAATACAGAAGTGAGTTCGCAGATTACAGGCGTTTTCTTTTCTACTGCATTAATATGGCAGAGGTAGCGTCGCCACATTAGCATCCGTTAGACTGCCTGCTCTTTCATTTTCAAAACGCTCTATTAAAGATTCCTTGATATGGCGTTGCGTTGTATCAAATGTATGCAAAGTACGAGCGTGCTTAAATGCACATTGCTTTCCTATATATATATATATATATATATAATGTATGTATATGCGTATATAATATGTACATAAAAACAAATCCAAAGATTAGCTACCAAATGTAATTTGTTCTCCATTCCGTTCCGTTGATATTAGCTCGGCTTGAAAGCCGCAAGCTTTAACTTTACATAGCTGAAAAGTAATTTTATTATGAGAATAATTTATTCTCATTTAATATATTATATTTACATACATACATACGTCTGTTGTACGTAATAAATTTTATGAAATTTTCCGCACAATATATAAGATATGGCGCAAAAAGCATTAGCTATTTATGTAACATGGCTGTTTCACCAAAATGTATTCCAGATCTATGTACCACAATCTCCTGTATTTGACAATCTCTGGGCAATTTTCAATTAAAGATTGATTCCATTCACAATTTCTTCAGTCTACAGCATGTGAATACGAATGACGTCACAAATACTACATCAAACACATGAAAGATCCTTTTTAAGGTGTAGACCGGGTCCATGCGGAGCGATCAACTGGCCTTTGCGGTTAGGATTGTCATAGAGGACCTATTTTCCATTTCCGGTGATCAAGTGGTCAGAAAACGCTTCTATATTATGCCGCTGAAGTAATAAGTTGTATGTGGTAGATCGGTAAGTTTTGTCTTCTTCTTTACCAATTTGCAGCAAACCTTTTGGGTGGATGGTCGACCTAGGTTGCTTAAGAGTTTTTCACACTTTCTCGATTGCCTGACAAGGATTTTCTTCCACTTTCGCCCTTAACATGCCGTTCTCTAAAGTCGTTGGTCTTCCTGATCGGTAAAAGTCGGAAATATCGAAACTATTGTGCTTAAAACCACTTACGAGCCTCTAAACCTCAAAAACCATACCCGATTATATTAAGTTTATATATATATGCATATTTTATATATTAAATGAAGTTGAGCTATTCCCACAATATAATTCTTCCTCACGTATGAAGAATGTGTTTGTAGGCCAATAGGAAATGCTTATTGAACTTTTGACGAACGTAGCGCATTTACAAAATTTCAATGAAAGTTAATATCAACGAGGAAACGGACAACAAACAACATTAGTTTTTTAGATACGCTTTGCATACACATGTACATGCATATATATATATATATATATATATGCGAAATTTGACACAATGTAATCTCATATGATTATTGATTATTGAGAATGAGAAGAGGAAGCTGTGAGACGGTCGCTAAGGTAACGAAGTTACTTCTGATATCTTAATAGATGCAAACCGCACATATATTCTCTTTTTAAAGTTTTGTGTGTTTGTGCCTATTTCCTAATTATCTTCAGAAATTTTTTAATGCATTATTTCTCTCTACGACAATCGTAAGCTTTAGTTACACTTGAGCAAAGTAAGCTTTCACATCCTTTCCCTCGATCTCTATTTCTATTCTATTTGCAAAAGCTTGCTTGCAGAGATGAGGATGAGGCGCTTTTTGCACAGCGATTCTTAGCTAAGATCTATAAAATAAATCAAATTTGAAAATCACTTCGAGCCGCTTACAACCTCTTAAAAACTGCATGAATTAAAGATAAAAAAATGGTTGTTTTTTCGAATTAAAAAACTTGCTTTGGATATTGATCTGAAATTTAATTTGAATATCTACCATGGCAATCTAAAAGGGCATATCCGTTAAATGATTTTACAATGAACAGAGAAACTTTGCAGTTTGAGTCAGAGAGCAGTCCCTTATCACGTTTAGCATTTTCGTTGGGGAAGGTGTAGCATTTTATTTATGTATGTAAATCGTCATTTCGTGCAGCTAGTAGTGCAGATACAATTGCATGTAAATCGTTTCTTAGTAAGCGTTAGGGACTTTCGTTCCTTGAGCGGTTTCTGATTTTCTAAATAAAATTTTCTGAAGCAATTGATGTTTGTCTTCGATTAGACGACTCTACGATTAGGACGCGTTAGTTAATCAAATAATTTGTTACGGAATGAATTTATTACATTTTATGAAGAGTTCACATATAATATGTTTAGTAGTGGGTTAACATTTTCGTATGCCTTTCAGGTGGTGAGTATTGAATACAATTATTTTTTTTTCTTCAAATCGTTTTGTTGTTATTTTTGCGAACTAAAACCGTTCATTCGTTCATTTGTAAAATTATTATCTTATTCGCTTATTTCAATTTTTCATTCATTTTCGTTATATTTGGCTAACAATTGCAATAACTAATGCTACTTCAGGGACAGCAACCACAAGCGGAAGACGAGAATACACCACAGAAAAGAGTGGATAAGATATTCGATCAAATGGATAAAAATCATGATGGCAAACTAACATTAGAAGAATTTCGTGAGGGTAGTAAAGCTGATCCACGTATAGTTCAGGCGTTAAGTTTAGGTGGTGGTTAAATGAGGATTTGCTTCTTATCTATAATATAAAAGTTTTTTTTTTTTTTTTTTTTTTTTTTTTTTTTTTTTTTTTTTTTTTTTCGTAATATTAATTTTCTATATTATTAGAAAACAAGAAAAAGATTCTTTTAATAACTAAATCACTTACTTCCTTGCTATTTAATTCTTAAATATACATAGTTTTCTTCAATAATTTCTAAAGTACAATGTTTGAGATTTTATTATTAGAAAGTTTATTCCCAATCTGTCGACATATTCAAGCACCTAAATATAAATAAATAAATAAATCAATCAAATCAATAAACAAATGCTTAACAATTTGAATACACCAATAATATATACATACATACATACAGACTTCCTCTTAACGGAAGAAAGAGAAAAAAAAAATTTCGGAAAAAAATTGTTTTTTTTACATACATATACATAATAAATAGTTCTTAGCTTTATTATTATTACAAACTAAAATAATTCAGAACTTGTACAAAGTGATGATTTACTTAACTACTAAAAAAAAAAAAAAAAAAAAAAAAAAAAAAAAACAAGTAAGAGAATTATATTCGGTCGTCATCGAATCTTTTATACCCGTCACCGTTATCCTAAAGAAGACAAAACACGAGAAAGAACTAAATTTTCTTGCCTTATAATATGGAGAGGGCGCGGCTGACTTTTGTTGCTTTCAAAATAAAACGTTTTGTCGCATAGGCGTATGGGCGTTGTAGGCGTATCGTTGGAAAAATTTAAGCCACTTTCAAATTCCTTTTCGCTAACGGGAAAATGTTTATCAAAAATAATACACACCTGCGCAGACAGACAGATGAACAGACGGAGATATTTTGGGTGTATTCCGAATTTGAAGTTGGCCAAAAGAACTTATACAAGCTTGTTTCCGCGCCTTATAAAGGAATTGAAAAAAAAAATATTAAATTTTGATACATTATAATATTATGTAGGCGTGGCAAATTTCTCTTATATATGCACAGGTACTACAGCAGCGCCCATAGAATATAGGTTAATATTTTTGTAGATTTCTCTCCTAAATTTTTTGAATAATAAATAAATTTTGAATAAAAGGAACAGAGTGTCCTTCGAGCAATTTAGCCCGTTTCCAATACCAATCTGCGTGCAAGATTTTCCAACGTTTTGTGGAAATTTAAAGTCGATGGCTTCATTTTTACGGGCAGGAGAATATTTACAACAGACGGATAGACAGATGGGCTTAAATCGACTTGGAATTTGATGCTGCTCGAGAATATATATACCTTGTTGCGGTATCTGAAGCTTCCTTCTGGGCGTTGCAAAAGTTTTGACAAAATGAATATACCCTGCTCGGTGATGGATATAAAACAAAATACTCTTTGTAAATTCTAATCAGTCAAAACAAAAAGCAGAAATAATGAATAAAACAAATAAATAATATAATAAAAAAAAAAAGAACAAAGAAGAAAGAAAAGTCCATCATACTGATTTAATTTCTATTCTATATGCGGTTCAGCTTTATTATTAACACTGTTACCACAACTTGAAATGTCTCCGGTAGATGTATAAGTTTTAAAATTATAATAAATAAACAAAATTCAAATTTATCTAAACATTTCAGATTTCATTCAATTGTAGACTTCAACACACAGGATTCGTCGCCACAGTCACGAGCGAAGCACTGCGAAATGGATTAAATATTCAAAATCTGTTCTATGCAATGAAAAAACAAGTAATCTTTCCCATTATCATTATTAATTTTGCTATAATGTCTTAAGAAAAAGTACCGGGAATGGAACAAAATGCATAAAACATGTTTTCCGAAATTGTTCGGAGCATGTGAATAATCAAATCGAATTAGCTATGTACAGATACATACATGTACATGTACATATCTCTATTGAAATGACGAAGATGGCCTCAGCAATTGTTCGAGGACAAACTTTGTAAAAAAAATTTCTCTTTTAGCTATCATAGATAATCATCCAAATAGGTTCACTGACCCGGCCACAATTAGCATGAGAAATTGCCATGTTTTTAAAAGTTTTTGCGTTTCACATTTACGAGTCGAAGCTGGTCGAAAATGAACGTAACGCAATTGCTGAGAAACCACTTATAAGAAGGTCAAAGTTCGTATATTGCCTCTGAACTAGCATAATAATTGACATTCTGGTCCACTTTAAATGGTTTATAAGGTAAAGCGTTATTCAATAGCACCATATCACAATCCTCCACCATCTTCATATTAAAGTATCTTCGTTTGACTTAAGCAAAGTCCAGTATGCATTCCATGCCATTGGAGTTGCAAAGTGAAAGTTAGAAAAGAAGAGACCTAGGAAAGGAAAGTATTTGGAAAGAGAGCGGCTGCTGATTTATGATAGATGATAAACAATGGACGCATTAGGATATTTTCCGCGCAGCTACACTTGATGCAGTTTCGACGAGTTCATACTATCGGCGATGAACCGAATTATTGCTAATGCTAGAATTTGCGAAACGTAGTTAGGTGTTGTGCACTCCAAGCAAACGAAACCGACACATTACCAAAAATAGCTAAGTAGCCGCTGTGTATAGGTTCATTTTTCATCATAAGAGCTTTTATATCGCATTAATTTTTTTTTTCAACTACTTAGCATCCATTTTTTAAGGTGAAGAAAGGAAACAAAATTGAAGTCAACGATCGTTGCAATGTAGGTGCGCCGATTTTTTCGATAGAGAGTTTCAGTACATTTGCGTTATCGAAATGAAAAGTTGAACGTCTAATACTTAATAGATGAAATACCTATAACTGGTTTAATACGTTCAACGTCTTCACTTCTTTCTGTCATTCATTGCTTCATTCATATCTTGAAACTTTGCTTTCATCTAATGCGATGCTAAGCGGCGGCAATGTTATCTCTATGGAACCAAAATTTCCTAATGGAAGTGAAATGAATAGTTTTATAATATTGGTGTAAGTGAAGTGAAGTGTTTGGAGCGTCGGTTATCACTTCGCCTTAAAATTATTTAAAATAAACCAGGACTTGACATATTCTCAAAATAAAACAAAAAAAAAAAAAAAATATATATATATATATATATACATAAATAAATAAAAAAGTTATAATCGGCTTTCTCTCAAATCTTGCATATATACATATATATATATATATATTCATCGTTGTTAGCTTAAAAAAAAAAGTCCCGAAATAAAAAGCGAACAAATGAAACTCCGATCATCTGTAACGTTAAGTTCATTTACATGTAGGTAATATAGGTGTACGTATTTATCGTTGTGTCTGTTGCAGTTTATGTGTAATAAGAAACAGACAGAGACTCTTTGCATACAAGGGCTTTTATTGCTTTTGCTAAATTTACAACCGATGTCTTAATGTTTGCGACCAAAACAATGTTTATCATTGAGATTACGCAAGTGGACCAAGCTTCTACCAAGCTTCTTTTTGTGTGTTGCAAACGCTTCGATAAACTGAATATACCATCACGCTTCGATAACGACTGGGAAATATAATGTAATCGAGAAATATTCCTCTTCCATGTAAAACTCATTTTGTAGCAAAAATGTCACAAGTGCATTATTTTTAAGATGCTTGCACAAAAAACGATGGAAAGCTTTAATAAATTTCACTGCTGAGCGGATAATAAGCCAGAAAGTGGCAGGGGTGATAGAATATAGGGATAAATAAAAAAGGACGAAAGTAAGAAAAATGAGCGAACATGTATAGTGCGGCGGAAAAGGACATGGACGAAGCAAGGAACGATCGGTACAACGATCGGGCAACCGAGCAAGCTTAGAGGCAAACGAGTGTGTTGACGAAGCTGAGCTCATTTGCAAGGCCATCCTGCGCTCCTTTAGTTATTATAAACGCTGCGATAGCGTTAATTTTCGCCAATTCTCCAAGGGACGGATGGACAAATAACATAACTGAATTCACGCCAATCAAGTATGCATTCTGTGAGGTAAGATTTAATGCGTCCCTCTATGTCTGATAGACACTTAATATTCCCCCATTCTTCGCTCATTCAGTCTAGTGAGGCAATAAAAAAAGTTAAATCACATTACATGAGACCATTAAAAAATGGACATTAAAGTTGTTTCAGATGTCGACGCCTGAC